TTATCATTAGCAATATCAGCGTTAGCAGCATCATCTTTGTCATCGACAGCAGCAGCATTGACAGCAGCATCAGCATCAGCAATATCAGTATCATCAACACCATCAGCATATGAATCAGCATTATCATCAGCAGCATCGGCATCAGCAGCATCAGCATCAGTATCAGCAGCATCAGCATCAGCTGCATCAGCGTCATCCATAGCATCATCAGCGTCAGCAGCATCATGAGCGTCAGTGTTATCAGCATTAGCAGCATCATCTTTGTCAGCGTCAGCATCAGCATCGTCAGCGACAGCAGCAGCATCGTCAGCAGCATTGTCAGCATCAGCATCAGCATCAGCATCATCAGCATCACAATCAGCTGCTTCAGTAGCGTCAACATCAGCATCAGCAGCATAAACAGAGTCAGCAGCATCATAAACATCAGCATCATCAGCATCAGCATCATCAGCATCAGCATCAGCAACATCATCATCAGCATCAACAACATTAGCATCATCAGCATCATCAGCATCATCAGCATAATCAGCATTACAGCGTCATCATCAGCAGTATCAGCATGAGCTTCAGCATCAGAAGCATCAGCATCAGCATCAGCATTAGCAGCATCAGCAGCATCTGCATCGTCATCATCAGCATCAGGAGAATCAGCATCATTAGCATCAAAATCAGAAACATCATCAGAATCATCAGCATCAACATTATCAGCATTACCAGCATTATCAGCATCATCATCAGCATCATCATAAGATTCAGCATCAGCAGCATCAGCAGCATCAGCAGCATCAGCATCAGCAGCATCAGCATCAGCAGCATCAGCATCAGCACCATCTGCATCATAAGCATCATCAGCATCATCAGCATCATCAGCATCATCAGCATCATCAGCATCAAAATTAGCAGCATCAACATCATCATCATCAGCATCAACAGAAACAGCATCAAAATCAGCACACTCAGCATCAACATCATGAGGAGCATCAGCATCATCAGCATCAGATACAGCAACATCATCAGCCCCATCAGCAACAGCAAAAACAGCATTATCATCAACAGCATCAGCATCAGCATCAGCAGCATAAGCATCAGTATCATCAGCATCAGCATCAGCACAAGCATCGCATCAGCAGCATCAGCATCAGCTTCAGCAGCATCAGCAATAGCATCATCAGAATCATCAGCACCATCAGTATCTTCAGCATCATCAGCATCATCAGCATCATCAGCATCATCAGCATCATCAGCATCATCAGCATCAAAATTAGCAGCATCAACATCATCATCATCAGCATCAACAGAAACAGCATCAAAATCAGCACACTCAGCATCAACATCATGAGGAGCATCAGCATTATCAGCATCAGAAACAGCAACATCATCAGCCCCATCAGCAACAGCAAAAACAGCATCATCATCAACAGCATCAGCATCAGCATCAGCAGCATAAGCATCAGTATCATCAGCATCAGCATCAGCACAAGCATTGCATCAGCAGCATCAGCATCAGCTTCAA